CCCCAAAACCCCCAAAACCCCAAAACCCCTTTAGTCAAATATTTGAGATATTGAATGGAATAATATTCGATTAATGATGTAATGATAATTAGTTTTATAAATTATAAACTTGAACGGTAAAATTTAATGTCACATTCAGAGCAACTCAGACAATACAGAATTAGATAGTAGCAGCAAATATAGCAGCATTAAATCTAAAGAGAACCTTTATTACCTGATAATAATCTTAATGAACCACTACTAGGTGGTTATGAATGAAATGCATCGAATGTTTCAAATGGAGGTGGCTAGGGGAGATACTACAGTGATTTCAGAAATTAGTAAGCTCAGTCGGACAATCAGTAAACCAAGAGAGACATTTATACTGACCTAATGTTCAATGTGCTTGCAATGATGCTTATAATAAACTTTGGGGCTGACTCTCACTGTGGAATCTCCATCTTTATGTGGTGCTTAGTTTATTTCTGCATTTTATCAACCAGATCATTGACAAATCTGTTTAAGTTGAAATTATAAGAAAATCAGTTTAGGTATTACAACACTTTTACAATAGCGAGTTTTATTGTTATCGATGGGTTATTACTTTCATGGCTAATATATGGCAATATTCTATTCTATTCCTCAAAGAACGACTGCAATCAAATGGAGGGGTCTAGAGTTTTATACAATTTGATGTTTGTGCTCCTATTAGTAGGCTATTTCTAGATGTTGGTTTACGCACTTTTGATATTTTGCCTTCCCTGCTTGATTGTTATTCTTAGACACTAAGAAAGGTAGAGAGCAGGTATAGTACCAAGTTCAGCAATTCCGAGTATCATACAAAGTCTTACTAGATTGAAATTTGACAATTAGTAGTTTAAGAGCGAGGATTAGTGCAGCATATGCTGGATAGAATTTAAATCAGATGATGAGATTACACCTCTCAGCTGCGATCCAAAGCACTATTTTCACACTAAATGCATTGAGGATTGGATAAGGACTGGCAAAAATACGTGCCCTCTATGCAGATAGCCCATAAGAGAATTATGATAAAAGCTTTTGGTTGATAAAATTAATGGTAATCAATGATAATATATTTTGAAAGCTGGATTAATTATCTGATTAATTGCTTTCCTATTATTCAAGAAATTTTTCTTTAGGGGTTTTGGGGTTTTGGGG